CGAATCTAGTTTAAAGCCCTATCAATACTAAGTACTACTGTTTCTACTGTTTCTAAATCTGTTGGAGCAAGATAATTATACCATATGCATTTTTGAGCAATAGTGCCTGAATTTGAACTGGACAATGGTCCCTGTTGTAACTAACACTTCTGACTTGCCCCTTCAAAAGTGCATACACTCTGTTAGGTCATAAGGTGCCATCTGCAGGGAGTGTGGCGACTATCACAAGCACAGTTACAACAGAAATCCGTTTCATCACTTACATAGCTATTAACAATTTTGAACTGAAATCTTTTCAACCCTCAGGAAGTTTGTGGAATCCAAATATAACTTCGCAAAATAGAGACAGAATTAGAAGTGAATTTTACAACAAGCAGTCTTGGGCTTGATTATTATTAAGAACTGCTTTGTAAGTGTCGAAAGTATGAAGTACACTGTGAAAAAACATGTAAGCAAAGGTAATTTTCTGTTAAATCATAATAACTTGGAAGCATAATTCTTTAAGTTCTTCTTTTTCAGGAAGCTGAACACTGAGATGATCCTAAAGAACTGTGGTTGCTTTCTGAACTGTGGTCGCTCCACCATTATGAAGTTATTTTACTTTTTGAGATTATGTTTCTCAACAATATTATTTTATTCAGGATGAGATTAATCAGTGTACATGAAAATGTAAGAAAATATATAGTAACTAGTTAATTATGTTTCACTAACATGAAATGCACCTTGCTTGTAATTCCTACTACCCTGTTTTATCACATTAAACTAATAATTTTAAGATATATACATGCACTGTCTATAATTCAGAATATATAGTAATTTTAAAGCCTATTAATGAAATTTGAAATGCAATTAAATATTAAATGTGATTTAACTTAGCAATGACTCTGTTTGTGATGAATGCCTTTGACTTCTTTTCTCCCTCTGAAATGCTGGGGTTTGAACCCAGAGCCCCGAATTAAGGTTGACATATGGGTGATTCCCACAGCCCTTCATACAGAGGTGGTGAGTTTGCCTTATAGCTTCCCCCCAGGGTGCGGCCGGCCCTGCAGGGAGAGCCAGAAGGGAAATGAGCCCCAGGGGTCCACATTGAGTTGACAGAGCCAGAAGGGAAATGAGCACCAGGGGTCCAAATTGAGTTGACAAAGGTCAGGTGTCCGTGTGGGGATAAAAGCTGGGACCATTGGCAGGGAGTCAGGAGTGTCTGTCTGTGGAGTGCACTCCCCAGAGCTTCCTGGTTCAGGGCAGACCTCCTGACTCTCCCTGGAGCTGGGCCCCGGTCTGTTTAGACCTTTGTGAATGCGGGTCGATCAGGTGAGAGTCGCCATGTGGGCACCTTTTTCTTATATGTTTAACTGGCTGCTTTGACTGTTTCCCATGCCAGCTATGGGCAACCTCAGCTCACTGTTTGTACCACCTGTTGTGGCAGAGTCACATCTTTTGTGGGATTGTGGGGGCTGGCGTCGATTATGTACCAGCTGGTTGACTTGTTTGTACCCCCAGCGATCATTCATGTCACGATGTTTCTGATTACAATAGTCTGTGTATTGGTTCATCTTCCTGCTGGCTCTGTCATTCTTGTTGGGCCTGGTCATTGGCAGAACACCCTCCCACACTTCTTTTCTGCATTTCTTTTCATTATTAGGTAAATGAAATAAGAATTTCTGTGAGGATACCAGAGAATGATGAGAGCACTGATATCTTTGTAGAGGTCAATAACATTTTGATTTATTTTCAGTGATGAGAGTATTTGCTTTTATGTAGCTAATTGATGTGAAAGGTTGTACTAGTTCCGAATGAGAACTAAGACACAAGCATGGGGCTGCATATAATTATTTTCCTTATGAAATTTGTTTTTACTTAGGAATTGGTAGATCTCAAGCTTCTTCTCATGGTGGTAGTTTAAGACTGTATTGTTCTGTAGGGTGTCTCTGTGCTACAAAGCTTAAAGCAAACACACCTGATATGTTTACACTAGAGTTTCTTAGATTCTTACTTCTCTCAGGAATCTCCATTTCTGTTAGTTGTATCAGTTGTACAGAAACAGTCTTTTAGGAAAATTTGGTAACAGTCTTAGGAAACAGTACTCCTGGTCAGGAGCCCAAACCATAGTACATAAGGAAATAGATTAAAGGAATTAATCTGTGCAGAAATCCCACTGTACTGTGTATTGGAATAATTCCACTTTTTTTTTATCCCCAGATACCTCCTTATTTTGCAAAGTATATGTGACTGTAGAAAACCTAACAAACTGTGTGCAGATGATTAGTTGAGTATTTATCATTGCTGCGTCAATATTCAACGCAAACTAAACAGAAACTGCTCAGTGTTTTCTGTTGCATTACGTATCATGTGTATTCAGCAGATTTTCCCCTGTATGTTTGCAAAAATCTGGGAAAATAAATGCTTTGATACACAGGTATTTGAATATCAAAATCCTGCTAACAAACTTTGCTTTTTGTCTTCCTACTCTTAAGAATCAAACTTTTATGCTTAATATAGTAATGCTGCTGTTCAGGAATTGGTTATTTTGCAACTATCGCTTATGGTAAAACTCTAAACAAAGGGGTAGAGAAGAGAATAACAGACAAGATGTCAGGCTGCAGGAGGATGTACATTCCAGAAACATGGAAGAAACTTGGAGGGAGCAGATTCAGACTGATGTTGTTTCTTTCAAAGTAGGTAAAAAAATTAAGTAACTTAGTCAACAGCTCTGTAGGTCTCAGTGTGATTAGTAACCCCTTTGCATTACCCTTTAGCATGATTTCTCTTCCATATACAGACGTTGGACATGCTCATTTCAGTAACTCATTGACTGCAGACAGCTTTTCCAGCTGTGCAAGACTTGTTCCAAAGCGATTGTTCTTTCCCCTTTAGCGGTCTGCACACCCAGTTCAGCTGGGAGATGTCTGTCTGTGTTTCCTCCTTGCTGCTCCACTTGCCGTAGCACTGCTGCTGTGGTAGCCTGAGTCATCACAGGCCGAGGGAAGAGGTCTCACTCTTTTCAGCTTTATTATTTCTGCAGTTGCTGTTCTTCGCATTTTTGCTGCAAGCATCCTTTTAGATGAGGTAAGATCATATAAAAGATACTACCTTTTAGCTATCATTGTAATAGAAACTCTCAGATTTGCTTAGGAAACGGCAGCCATGGCTACATTGTTTTAGTTTAAATCAGTCTTGTGCTTTTGAAGGGAATTGCCTACTGGCCTCACTGCAGTTTGGTTTGTATTGCAGGGGGGTTGAGGAGTGCTGCCTAGATTGCCTCAGGTCAAACTGAACTAGATTAATCTAAAATAGTCCTTCCATACCACTTGAGGAATTCTGGACCCCTTTTCTTGAAGGGAATGCTTCCTTCTCCCCCCTAAAAAGCAAACCAAGTCATCACATCTAATCTTGCCAGAGTTAAGTCTGAAGTATTGTATGCTGTCCTCAATAGAAGAGAGCCCATAGGTCCTAGTCTTAATTAAAACACAAGACCATAATTGCAACGTGTAGTAAAATACTTTCAGATAAGATTACAGCATAATTTGTGTGGAACTATCCTTTCTCTTTAGAACTTGTAATGAGAGCAGATTAAAAGGACGTCAGTTCTTTCTTGTGTGCTTCGTACAAACTACATTAATTGATTTTAGATATTGTTAAGAGTGTTTCAATATTTTTAATCTAGATCATAGTTGCAGGTACAGATTTCAAGTGTTATCAGAAGGTGGTGGGAACCTTCATTACAGAATTAAAAAAACCCAACAGATAGGACTTCTGGGACTAAGGATTAATTAGGAAAAAAAGCTCATGTGCCCGTACCACAGGATTGAGGTTGGTGCTGGCTCTATAAAAATGCATCTAGTTCTTTTCAGTGTGTTATACTGGATTTTTTTATTAGGGAAAAGACTACCATGGATAATGAAAAGCTAGCCAGAGCTTTTGCTGATGATAACAGGTGAGAAAAAATACTCCACTTTTGACTTTTGTCTTTCCACAGAGTAATATAATTTATTACATAAGCAAAATACTAACAGCAACGGTACTTTGGGTTCTCCATTTCACTTTTTCCATGGTGATCATTTATACAACAATTTCATCTCCTGGTAATATTAGAGTATGAATCAGAATAAGGCATTAAACCCACAGCCTGCACTTTTCAGCTACTGCTTCTGTGTACAGGTATCCAGAATGAATCTTGGCTTAACATTCACCCTGACAATATACACAGCATCTACAATATAGATGTAGTGAATTTGGAGACTATTGTGATACTCTGTCTGCAGAATTCAATGCAGACAATTCAAAAGATAAAATATAGCAATGCTGAAGACGTGCACCACTTTTGGAAAAAACTCAGTTGAGAAGTTAGTTTTATTAAAATACAAAAATAGCTACCAGCAGAAGACCAATATATCTGCACTGGAAAAAGGGGGCATTTCAGGGAAGGAATCCTCAGTCATGTTCCACAGTAAACATATCCGTTACCATACAAATGCAGCGCGCTCTCGTAACATCCTGACACCAAAACGCTGCCACTCCCGCTGATATATCCAGAGCTCCTGAGTTGTATCAAGGCAGGCTAGAACTGCACCTCCTTTCCAGGCAATTAGGCGGGGATCCATATCCTAAATTCGAAACAGAGATTGTTCACAGTCACGGGAATGAATCTACATACTTCTCAAAACTCATATCCTAGTTTTTCCAACAGTATTCACCACTTAGAATTTGGGAGGTTAGGGAAGGAGAAGAGAAGTTTTTCAAAATTATTCAGGGAAAAATAGTGAGATAAAAACATGGAAACAATATTTAAGGTATTTAGAAAAGGCACTTTTTTTTTTTTTTTTTAAGATGCCTTCTAGGCATGCCATGGAAATCCTGCTGTCAGCAAGAGAGGCTTTGAAAAATACTTAAATTTTGATTTTGCAAATTTTGCCTGATTCGTACCATATGAATATTGTTCTTTTAATGCCATACTTTCTTTTACCTTAATAGTAACAAAAACTCTAACACAATTTCTTGCTGAGCAGACAGGCTAGCTTCATGGACCAGTACAAACTACTTCTTTAAGGACGTGGACTTTAGCTATTAAACACTCCAGTGATCAACACCAGTAACACTCGTGCTATACTTCTGCAACTTCCTGCCTACAACTGGATAGTACTGTAAGTTGAAAGCTCCCCTAAATCTCCTCAGGTATGGAACTCATCTGTGGTTTTGAGATAATATATTTTTTTAATCTTTTGAAGATTTCAGCCAATCACAGTTTATTAAACATTTAGCTATCAGTTAACACTATACCTTAGGTCTTGTGATAACTTCAACATTTTCAACAACTCTTCTAAAAGAAGGTGGCATTTTGTTGAGAATTCGGTGTTGAAGAAACTCTTGAGCTTTATGAAACATAAGGCCTCCTCCCACTACTAATATGGAACTGTACATCTTCCTTTTCGTATCATCAGATGCTGGAATGAATGAATATATAGAAATATATCCGTTTTTTAAAGTTAATACAGCTCGTATTTGTGCTATAAAGAATTTAGTGCAAGTCAAACCAGAGAGAAACAGGTGTTTGCTTTTAACATTGTTTTTCTATTCCCTGGAGACTCAAAATGTCTAGTTCAAGAAACTTCAACAGAGATGCAAGTATAAGGAACAGTGTAGCTACTCTAGAGACGATGAAAAGTTAGGGACATATGTGTTACTTTGGTAAGATACAGGGTTACCATAAATCCACACTGCCTGACATTCCTATTTTACACAAGTGTACGAATGTGATTCTTACCACAGCAGTCAATACTATGAAGAATGGCTTTGTCAAGGCCTAAAGCTTTGCCTTCAAACTGAGAAATAGCTGTTTTCCTGGACACGTGTGCAGTTAAAGGTTCCTCCGAGTCATTTCCAGATATCATACATTCACTCTGGGAAGAACCAAGTTCCACTTCTTGTGGGTACATCCTCTCTGAAATGTCTGAGGCTTGGCCTCTCAAGTCTCCCTCAAATGCACCAGGCTTTGACACAGATTTTCTATCAGCTGTAGCTTTTGCAGACTTAAAAATGAGAAAAAAAATAAATTATAAAAAATGCAAAATGATCTTCAGCAGATTACAGAACAATATAAAGACTTAACTAAATAACATTGTACTTCTCATCACATTTTTGCAGAGAAAGGTTAAGCTTTTTGTTTCATTTTAATCCTTACTTTCAAACGTTTGGTTTTTTAACTTTTATTTTAATGTGTCAATGCCATAATACAAAGCCCCCTCGGACTCTGAAAATAAACAGTTCTAATTAAGGACTTGTCTAGACATCTGTAGTTCCTTACTCTAAATTTATTTTCTAACGCTTCTGGCCCAGATAACAAATTTTGGTTTCTGATAGGAGCTAATGAGTCCTGATTTTATTCCCCAATTAAACTATACTCAGAAATAAAATGAGCGTTCACATACCTGCTCCTGCTTACTTTGTGTCGCTAGCAGATAATGTTCATCATGAGGATCCTCAGGGTCACCTTGTGACCTGTGTTGCAAAGTTGTCATTTTTTGTCCAACAATTCCAAAAGTTGCTGGATAGAACAGAGCCATCGGAGCCTGAAGAATCAGAGATTTGATGTGGTTTTACTACAGAGTTGGGTTTTTTCTTTTCCCTTTGGTATTTATTATAAAAATAGAAAATCCTTGCTCTATTTTTCTCACAACAGAAAATTAAATACACATTTTTTTCAAATAATTTTATAAAAACCTAAATTGTCTTCAGCTTTGTATAATTTAAAAAAACCCAAAACATACAATTGCACATAGAGATTTCTTTACAAATGATGGTGTTGTCTGATAAGAGTATTCAAATGCAGTTTGTTACAAGATGAGAAAATTCCATGGTGAAGTGAAAAACTTGCAAAATTAGTATTGGTTGCTTGTCCTTGAAGGATAAATATCATCATACAAGCAGTCTGGCTAAAGCTAGTTAGGAAGTCTTGTTCATTCACTAGTGCTGTATTAAGCCCTTTCATACATATAGGAATGAATTTTAAAACTATCAACAAGCATATGTTAAAAATAATCCATAAATCAGGTGAACCTGGTAGCACTGGACTGATATCAAGTGAGACCCTGAGCCTGAATGCTGAATATAATTCTTGTAATTAAAAATCACCTGTAATTTTTCATCTCCTAATCGGAACTGGTATAACAATGCTGGAGAATCTGGATGACGAATCTGGAACTCATGATCTTGCAATCCAGAAATATCCTAAGGTCAAAAATAATGTGTAAAAAAAAAAAAAAAGTATTTTTTATATCTCTCTATCAAGCTGCATAATCTACTTAAACCGTAGGAAAAAACAAAAAAGTGGCAAAACTCTTCAGACTGTGAATTTCACTTACCTCTTCTTGACCTCTTTTTAAAAAGTCTCTTCCTTGTACCACAATCTGCCAAAACAGCTTTCTACATGCCTAAGCCTCTAAAATGAGGGTTTGTGCAGAAAGAAGGCAGATCTTAAGAAAGTGAAGTTGAAAAACAGCAGGTACACAGCTACTATGAACTTCTTTCAGAAACAAGAACAAAGAAACTACTTTCCTAAAAGCTGTCTTTCAACTAGAAGAAAAATAAAACAAGTTACAAATACTTCAAGTCTAAAGCTTCTCCAGCTTTTGCAGGTGTTCCACAGAGAAAAAGATTACATTTCATTCCATTTACAAGCAATTGTAGACTCACAAAAGAGTTTCCCAGCACTCTCTAAAGGAAAAAAAAAAAAATTACTTCGAGAAGATACTATTTTCCCCTCTCACCTGGTCTAGATGACAAAATGTCTCCTTTAAGTGCTGAAGCAGCAGACAATCCAACTTATTAGTTAACTGACAGTCTCTATATGGGAATCCTGCTCGCTGCATAAGCCAATAAAAGCACCTTGACACGTCAGATCCTCCATATGCAAGGCAGAGCCTAAGGTGCAAAGAAAAAGATTATGTTAGAAATTACAGCCTTTTACGGTAGCATACATAAGAATGCAAGGAACATTGTAGACATGCTGTGATCGTGACCTCCACATAAAACTTGCAGAGCACAGTATAATTTTTGCTTGTTTTCTTCTTTTAAAGAGGTCAGAATTCTTTAAGGTTTATACCATGACATGATAAACCTGCCATGCAGATCACAGTAAAAAACCCTTGTATTTGTACAAGTTTTTTTTGTTTTTAAAGTCAGGTCTTTGGTAAGCAACCAAGTACATGTTTATAACAATTCTGCATATTAAAAGGTACCTGGTGTTGCGATGGGAAACACCATCTTCTACGCAGCAAACACTTGTCTTCTGGTCCCCCACATCTACTATACAGGCGCTGCTTAAACCACTTCCAAACGTAGCACAGACAGACTCCTGGTGTACAATTATTCCTGCCAATATGAGAAAAAGTTAGATCAAACTTATGCCAAGCTTCAAAGCCATGTTGCTGACACTTAAAGGACATCTTAATGTCTTTTAAAATCTACTAACAGAATATCTCTGCACTGAAAGTTTGTATATTCAGTGAACACGGGGTGGATGGAGAACTCTTAGATTTTTTTTTTTTTGTGGGGTAGACTCTTCAAGTCCTGAGAAAAGCTGTGAGCAGGGTGGATGTCTTCATTAAAACGTTCTTATCTTTTGCAAGTGTTGCAGTGCGCCTCTTGGAGACAGAGGTTTCTGTTGCCTCTTTGTCCTCAGACAGGGGCACACATCCAGAATTTTCCACCTTTCCCAGGTTGTGGTTAGCTTAGCCACCACAAGACCTATCCCCTAACACCCATTGGACCCCTGACCTGTCAGTAACCCATCCAGGTATCCTTACAGGACAATGCCTTTGTAAACCCACCTACCAACCTGTTAAAAACCCTTGGCCCCAAGGCCACATGCTCTTTCGCTTCTCCCCTGGGGTGGGTGCTGTTTCAGTGCCTGCCTCAGGTGTTCTTGTTTGTTATTTTCATGTTATTAGAACCTTTTATTTTGGAAGAAAGCGATGGTTGCCCATCCCTCCTTTACTCGCCACTGCCCTCCTCTTCGCTGACGACCACCCTGGAGGTAATACGGGGGTCCCGCTGGGGGTGTTTTCTTCCCGGGCAAAACCAGCGGGTTTAAAACACCCTGCGATATGTATTTTTGCAAAGTTATATGCAAGTGCAAAGATAGTGCTTCCAGACTTTACTTGGTGTTGTAACCAATATTTCCAGGTCTTGGTTATCAGGTGCACATGAAGCATTTTACTGATTTTTTTCTAGTTTTAATTAAGTATCATTACCATTGGCATTTTAGATATGTTCTTTAAATAGTTATAAAAACAAGGTCCAGTTTCCCTGTCTGCTTTCCTTTCAATCCACCTTTAACTCTGTAAAAACTACCTTTGTATTTGTGCTAGCCAGCCATTTTGCCCCATTAAAAGAGACAGTAGTTATGAAAAGAGCAAAGATGAAAGGTGCTAGTCCCAGCTAAACTGTGCCTTAATAGTAAAATATATCTTTACAGTATTAGTCATTAAGTCCTTGCTTATGTATCGTTTTACCTGAGAAGCCCATCTTCATTAGAATCATGTTTACCAGTTCTTTCACATGTTGTTTATTATAGATGTCTGGAATAAGTAAAATGCATCTGTAGTACTGAAGATAAGAAGAGTAAATTAAAGCCAGAGCTCAAATTAAGGTTCTCTTTACATTCTTGAATACCTCATGCTAAGGAAGAAAACATAATATAGAAGTTATTAAAAGAAGAAAAACTTCTAAAATTATTTAAAACTTCCCCTTTTACATAGAGTTAATAGTAAGTACCAGGTTAAGAGTTTGTAAGTCACTAAAATGTTTAAAAGTACATCAGATATAAGAAAAACATCTACTCAGCAAGAAGAAATGATACAAGTATTAGATGCCCATTCCTCAACTGCCTCCTTTTTAGTCAACAAAAAAATGCCAAACAGGCTAAGACTTAAATTTCTGTAATGGGATTTCCAAACGTCCTTGGTAGAAGTTCTGTTAAGAATTTTTGTCTTTAAGACATGCACAAAATTCCAAATGAAGTCTTGGGAACCATGCTTACCAGCAGAAAGAATTTGTTCTTTAAGAAAGCCACAAGTGAGAGTCTCACAGTACTATTTACAGAAGCAGATACAGCCCACATTAATGTGTTTGCAGCTCACCTTTAGGTCTTTCAGTGGTATTTCCAGGTATTTTTGTATTGCATGTGACCATATGACTTCAAGATCTGCTAATACTGCAGTGAGGGAGCCACCAGGTCCTGTATGGAGATTCAACTGCCCTCTTCTAATAGGCCAATGGATATTATAAGAATCTAGTGGATTAACATACAGTGCCTGAAAATAAGAGATGACGTTCTGTGCATTGCTTTTCCCAAATGATTAGTAACAAATACCAGGAAAATATTTCAGAAGCAGAATCAAGACATACAGCAGCACTCAGACTGATATGATAGCAATACAGTTGATTTCTTTTTAACAGGGCTTGATTATAAAGCATTAAAATAAAAAAGATAGTAAATACATTGCTTAAATTGAATTTTCATATCCTTGGGCGTCTACTACAAACATAACAGTATATATTACCATTGTCTCAAAGCAGTAACCAGAATAATTTAAAGACTCCGTGGTGTCATGAATACCTAGTTACTCAGAAGTAATTTCATGTAGTGATATTTTCATCAGTTTTTTGCCTTTTCTCTGAATTATACCACATAGGAAAAGTTCTCACCTAGTCCCTGCAGAAACACTGATATATAGCAGCAAAGTTTCCAGGATACTTTTAGGCAAATGGGGGAAATGGTCTAGGCTTGCTGAATAAGAAGTGTTCAGTAGTAAAGCTTCTTATGTACTGCTTGACTAAATTTATATGCCTTTCAATGCATGGTAACACATAGCAAACTGCTACTGATTACATAGACACCTTAAAACCTACTATTAAGCCTCATTTCAGCAGGGAAATGAATCTTACCTCTTCTCCTACCAGAAATTCAGGATGATTTGATGTGTTTGTCCACTTGGCCCCAGAGCTGTGATCTAAAATAGCTGGCCGCATCTGTCTGTTGTACGACCTGGCCTGAAACGCATTCAAAACAAATGCTGTTGATAAGTATTTTGCAAAGCACATTTAATGTGTGAAAGAAAAAAGAAACATCCCTTGACCTCAGCCCTTTAAGAACCATTTTAAATCTTCATCTTCTCAAATCTGCAGTTAGGTCACACAGTAACACTATGCATACTTGCTGTATCAAGGGTACCTATGCTTGTCCACTAAAACAGAGCATTGCACCAAATGACCATATGGATAAACAATCTAACAAAACCTTAAGAATGAGTTACCTGATCAGGTGACACTGGTATACGCCTTGCACCATTTGACATCTTTTTGGACCATATTGCTTGGTCCACCATTTTAAGGCCATTTTGTCTCTGTTCTGTACTTTCAGGCTTCTGAACAAAACCCAAAAACAAGCAATGTAAATATTTATTTTTCAACCACATCTGTACACTAGTAATACTGAAGCTATTATTAATCATTACTGTAGTTGATAGGCTGTAGAAAGGACACAGGTTTGTACAATGTATAATGAATGTATGCTTAAAGAGACTTTTTTATATTCGAGTTCCCAACACTAATTTGTCTAAGTCAACTTATATCTTTTTACTGGTTGTAATGGCTGCTAGACTTCATCTCCATAGTGATGAGCTCAGGACACTATCTATTTAACTACAGAAGTATTAAATAGGAAGAAAAAATGTTTAAATAGATCTGAAATACTTAAAGGTGTCACTTAATATTAAAAACATTACTTTGATTAATGATTTTTTTTCTGGTACAAATTCAAAGTATGAATAAAATCACTACTATACATTTTTTGAGCAGGCTAGACTAAAATGACTGGCTATGTTAACCAAGTTAGAAGCCAGCTTGTAAGCCATGCGTTCACAGTGGAGCAATCCCATTCTAGTTCTACAGCTGTCGTTCCATAAACGGAAATGCTGCGTGTGACAGACCCCAGAACGGAGAAATCCATGAGCACAAACCCGCGGGGGCGCGGCCGACTTACGTTGAGCCCATCCCTG